CAACAAGTGAAATCAAATCAAATGTTTTTAATTCTTATTTTTCTTTAATGCTTCATTATAGGTACCCGTTAACAGATATATGTAAATAATTATACTAAATTAATTTACCATTTTTTTTCTCCAAAATTATAAAACTATATTAAGTGCATAAGAGGAACGCTAGCAGCGTAGTAGTTGGTAGCTGTGCTCCACGAATGAATGGAATGGAATAGACAATCAATTTAATGAGTTTGTTGTCTCTTCTCTTCAAACTACACTAATACATATAATTCTTTATACATTAAGATAAGTATATAACAATAATGCAATGTAAGAAGTTGTTGTAAACAAAATGCTAAATATTAATCTTAGATATTTTTGATTATATTTTCTTAACATAGAATAAGCACTGAATTTTTGCTGTAAATTTACTAATACTAGTCGAAAGATATTATATAATGGCTTAGGTAGACTGTACCTCATATATTCAGTTAGTCTTAATAATCAGAGAAAAAGGAACAAGTTTCTCGAGAACGACAAATAACTAGAATAATCTTGGTGAACATTTCAAATTGCTAGGAAGAACTATTTTATATAAGCTTATAATCTACTCCATAAAATATGATGAAATTCTGAGGTTGGTATTAAGATTTTGTCGAAATGTAAGCAAAGAAAAAATATTGTGATTTATAGCCGACGAAATGTAGCTGAATAAAAATACGTTTAGTAGCCAAATTCTGGTAGGGTGACGGCTATTTTTGATAGTGTAGGTATTAACAGAGAAACCTAACGCGGTTTGTGGAAATTTTAGTTGTGAAATAGTAATGAAGTTTATTGATATATGATATGTTCTAAAAGGGTTTGTTTAAGGGAGAAAAAATATCAAATTGCTTCTCTCTCCCAAGGTGAAGGCGACAGAGAGTGTCAGACTCTTACTGACAAAAAACCACCGTGTTTCACCTGGTCCAAGCCAAGGGCTCAGTAACTTATTGCGCTTAAAAGGGCATATTAAAGGTTAGTTTGAATAAAAAAATGCAAGGTATGATATTGACTGTAGAATTCGAGTTAGATTTCCTGGTATTAAATTTGAGGCAGATATAGTTGTATGTGATGTGAATGGTATCGGAATGTTAAAATTAATACAAAAAACAGACTGATTTCAGGCTACCTACGATTTGTTTGCGACGTTGCGAGTTTTGTTTGCAGCCAGCATTTTCGATCAAATGAATTCCTTGTTGAAAAAATGGATTGTAAATAGACTTTGAAATATGGTGTAGGTATCTATCTATTAATAGATTATGTTATTAAAATTGATTTTGAACTTTAATATAATAATGTTACTTAACACCTTTTTTTGTGAGGGTAAAATCATCAATTGGCTTCTCCCGCCCAGGGTGGGGTGGGAGTGTGTCAGACTCTTACTGACTAAAAACCCTCCGAGGGTCCTTCTTCTGCTTTAGGCCGAGGCCGCGGTGAAATGTTGCGCTTGTCTCAACCCCGGCTGAATATTGATAATACCTACAACCAAATGAATAAATTCAGTACAAACCTGAAAAACGGACCCAAACTCGTCTTCAGAAATTACAAAAGATCATTACATCAACCCAATATACACAAATTTCAATAAAACATATGAAAATGTCTATAAATTCGTCTATTGTGACGTATTCAAACAATTTAACAAGGAACGGATTTCTTTAAAGTTTCTCTTGAAAAATTACAGCTGCCGTAATACTTTTGATGCTCTCTCTTGTCAGATCTGAAGATGAAAACGTTGATTAATAAACTTATTATCCCCTAAATTTGAAATACAATGAGATGAAGAAAAATCGACGTTATGAATTACATTTTTTAGTTTTGTTTTAAATAAGTTTTCAAAATGTATATTTATTGTTAGACGTCATATTTTGGTAAGTGGTATTTTATATAGGTACCTACATATTTTTATGTGAATAAGAGGCATACGAGCTTTCGGAACTTCTGGGCCTCGAGTCTGCTACTACAATAGTGACAGAATAGTAGATCATTTTAGTCATCAGTTTCATCATCATCAGCCTATAAGTGCCTACTTCTGAGCAAAGACCTCTTCTCACACGGAGAAGGTTTGAACATTAATCACCACGCTTCCTAAATGCGGGTTGGCAATTTCAAACTTACAATTAGAAATTATAAGTCCAGGTTTCCTCACGATGTTTTTCCTTAACTGTATGTCAGTGGTGTCTAACCTTGAAACCGCCAATCCACCTTGAGCAAGGGTGGTGATTATTGTTCAAACCTTCTCCGTGTGAGAAGAGGCCTTTGTTCAGCAGTGGGCACTAATAAGCAGATGATGATGATGAACTTAAATAAATATATTTTTATATAAGTTTTACAATTTAAAAAATCTACATAAGTAAAGTCTTTTGGGAAAATGCGACAGATAGATGAAATACTAAGTGTAAGTGTGAAATGCTAAGCTTAAGTGTGGGATAGCCAAGCTTAGGCACAAATGGGTTGGCTCGACTGGAGTGATACCACGGCCTCACCACAGCGTTGTGTTTCGCCGTGTGACTGAGGTTTCCTCACGATGAGGAAGGAGGCCCATCTTTCCCCTCCCCTGATCCCTTAATCTCCAAAACCCATATCCCAAAAAGGTCGGCAACGCACTCGTAACTCCTCCGCTGCGGGTGTCCATGGGCGGCGCTGATTGCTTACCATCAGGTAATCCGTCTGCTCGTTTGCCGATCTATTACATAATAATAATAATAACTAATATACGCTAGTCAGAGATCTGAAATATTCCTGAAATAAAGCTATCAGCCATAGATCATTGACAAACAGATACATTATAACCTACTTTCCTCAATTGACTCACATCCGTTCGCGTGACTCCTCTAAACTATTTCTGTCTCTGTTTAGCATGTGAGTGGAATGTCATTGGACACTTCGCGTGTCGGATAGGAATATATTTACTTATTTCGTTGAGTGGTTACAAGTGTAGGAGTGTTCAGTTCGATTTCTGGGTCGGAAAAAGTACAGTACTATTAATGTGTCACACAATACGAGCTTTTATAAAAAAAAAACATACTAAAAGTACTAGTTTTTTGTATTTTCCATAATTTTTGACTTGAAACTTTGTGTGGACACATATTCCGCTAAAACGCTCTTCAAGATTTACCGTAAATATTCTTTATAAAACTGAAACTGAAACTGAACTTGGTAGATTTGAAGTGCGAAGAATTGGTGACTTGGCACGTGCAATAATTCGACATTGGGGTTCGGCAAACACCCTTTGTTTTTTACCATAGTAGTTGATTTTATTTATTGGTCCATTAATAATTGTTTACACAGGTATTACAATCGGCTACAGGTAAACTTGCACATGCTTTAAGGGTAGGTTACTTATGAAAAGAGTTAAAAAAAAACACACATATTTAAACTAATCATAAATTATTATAACACGCGACTCTTAAAATGTCTTATACAGATCGAGATAATATTTATCGATATCTTTCAAATTGTTAAAGTCCATATCAGTTATGCCACTGTAACTATTAAGAAGAACTATGCAAAATCAGAAAAGAAAAAATTAAACGAACGGTTGAACTGAAAAAAACTTTTCTACCATTCAAACTCAAACGAAAATAGCCCTTACATATATCAACCTTAATGAATAATATGAAAGAAACAGCTTGTCAATTATATTCTTGGTTGCGATCCAAATGTTTAATGAATATTATCATTGTTGTTCGTGTAATATTTTATCTTATGAAAATGCCCGTGTCAATTGTTCAGGCTGTTAAATGAGGGTAGATGTTATAAGAAGTTTTATTGCAAGGTGCTAATTGGAAATGTTAATTATATATCGAATGTAAAAGTTAAATGATTTTCTTGACGACGACACAATGAGATCTTATGATCTTGGATTGTAGGCTATTCACGATAACTTCTCTCTTGGGAGTAGCAAGCTTTGATAAGTATAGGCAGCTTGACCGGAGTGATACCGCGGACTCACAGAAAACCGATGGGCATAGACGCTTGGGTTATGTTTCACTAGGTAAATAAGGTTACCGTGGGCCTGACTACCCCAACTGTAACTCCCTAATGTTCAGCTGCCGTAAGCGCAGGCTTGCGGATGGCAAGCAAGGATAAGCCACCACCCGATCAGACCCAGACTTAAGCGTAGGACGCATCCGTGGGTGCAATTACTGTGTTGTACCGAAGCTTGGGAAGGAGGAGAAAAAATAGTGTGGTTTTAAGTCTGTAAGAGCCTGACACTCCCTTTCACCCCAACGAAGCATTGTTGATGCTTAGAGGCAGTTCTGATTACTTACCATAAAGGTCGCTCCAAGGGACGACAAACGTATTGTTAAACAATAACCTAAATATGTAACATATTAATTCATAATTAAATTTTATATATCTCTTTACAATATCATGGTAGTATAGTAATCAACAAACAAATTCAACAAAGTAACCGATGAAGATACAGCGGCTTAAAATTAAATGTATTGATGATATACTCAATGACAAGCTCTCGGACTACTGCGAAAGTAGGTCGTCACCCCGAGTTATATTAGCTACAATAATACCTACAACAGGTACATGCGTTGCTAAACGTGATACGAGTAGCTAAGGAGTTTTGAAGTCATCTTGAATTTTATGGAGCAATATTTTGTAGATTTAATCTTCTGTGAAGGTGACAGTGCTATGCTTGTAATTTTAACGCTTTTATGATTTGTTCAGGACTTGTAAGATTAGAGCGTGGCCTGAAGTTTTTCTTAGACGGATGAAAAGCAATCGGCGCCGCCCATATCAATTGTAATACCATGATTAACACAAAAAAATACCAAATTTTAAATTAAAACTCCTCGCTAACTGGCCTTAATCTTAGACCTGGCAGAAAAAAATAAGCTAGCTGTCAAATGACTCTTCATAAATGTCATGTCTAAATTATTGAATACACATTTTTGTAACATAGTTTTATAGAAAAAGACAAAAAATACATAAAAAATCATGTGAACCTAAAGGTGAAAACTACTATGATAAGTCTCAGAGGAGTGTTATCTGTGATGTTGAGAAGCGCCTTCATAGTCGCTTTCCTCAGCATTCCTAACCCCATCGTGGCCTTCACAGGCTTCAAGAATTGGTCCAGAAAAGCAATATACCACAAAATTGACCTTTGCACACAAGCCTGCTACAGCCAGATAGTTCCTGGCCTCTACCTCAGCAATGCAAGAGCAGCCTGCGATAAAAATGTTCTCAGACGCCTCAATATCACCCACGTGCTCACGATTGAGGCGCATCGCCTTCCAAAATCCACTTTTGCAGATACCGACATCAGCACGCTCTTCATTAGGGCCTACGACACTCCTCAAACCCATCTCCTGCCCTACTTCCCTATGGCAAATGCTTTCATCGATGAAGGACTGCAGAAGGGTAACGTTTTGGTCCACTGCCATTTCGGAGTATCCCGTTCCGCCACGCTGGTCATCGCATATATTATGGAGAAGTACAAGCTGACCTTTGAGCAGGCGTTCGTGTATGTCCGACAGAGGCGAAGGTTCATCAACCCAAACCCGGGGTTCGTGAATCAGTTGCGAGAGTACCAGAGATTGAATTACGACGTGAATGGATTCTACAGGTTCGAAGCATACATGAACGTGAATGCCCGAAAGCACAAATACAAAATTGCATCTTTAGCTGCTGTCGTCGTCGGCATCCTTGTACCTCTTGCTGTGTTAGTCGGTTAAATTTGCGTGGTAAGTCAGTTTTTAGAAGATAAAGTGTAAGTTTTACGTACATACAGAATAAAAGTTTAATTAAAAAATACAATACTTATGGATTTTTATTGATTGTTCTTTTACATAAAATAGTTACAACATTGAATGGAGGAAGGAGCATCCAATGAGTTTTGGAGCATAAAATTTACCAGATCAAATGTTTCGCAATCTATGAGTGAAATGTTATGTATAATAAATAAGACTGAACCTCGCTTAATTTACAGAAATTAATAAACTTAATAAACAGATACATTTAAGATTAATTTGAGAATCTTCAGCAATAAATGTAATTGTAATATATTTATCCAAGTTCAATAAACATGCGTTTTTGTCTCATCATCATCATCATCATCAGCCCTTTTCAGTCCACTGCTGGACATAGGCCTCTCCTATTGCACGCCACTGGGATCGATCTTCGGCCACTCGCATCCAGCTCCTGCCAGCCATCTTGCGCAAATCATCACTCCACCTTGCCTGAGGACGTCCTACATTACGTTTGCCGAGACGCGGTCTCCACTCAAGAACTCGTCTACTCCAACGGTCATCGGTTCTTCGGCTAATATGGCCAGCCCACTGCCATTTCAGCTTGCTAATCCGGTGGGCTATGTCGATTACCTTGGTTCTCTGCCGGATCACCTCGTTTCTGATTCGATCTCGCAGAGAAACGCCGAGCATAGCCCTCTCCATAGCTCGCTGAGTGACTTTTAGCTTGTGAACCAGCCGCACCGTCAGTGTCCACGTTTCGGCTCCGTATGTCATGACAGGTAGGACGCACTGATTGAAGACTTTCGTCTTTAGGCACTGTGGGATCGACGACGTGAAGACTTGACGCAGCTTTCCATATGCTGCCCAACCTAGCTGAATTCTTCTATTCACCTCGTTCTCGAAGTTGTTTCTACCCATCTGCAATGTCTGCCCGAGGTATACATATTTTTGAACGACTTCGAGAACAGCGCCGTGTACTGCAATCGGTTCCGGTAGTACATGTTCATTGAACATGACCTTGGTTTTATCCAAGTTCATCCGTAGGCCGATGCGTATAGAAGAGTCAGCCAGGTCATTCAGCATCCGTTGTAGGTCCTGCAGCGTTTCTGCTACGATGACGATGTCGTCTGCAAATCGCAAGTGAGAGATGTACTCGCCATTTATGTTGATGCCGCGTCCTTTCCAGTTCAGCGTCTTGAACATATCCTCCATTGCATTTGTGAACAATTTCGGGGAGATAACATCCCCTTGTCTCACACCTCGATGCAACGGTATCGGCCTTGTTTGCTGATCCTGTACTTGGACGGACATGGTGGCGGCCTCGTAGAGACATCTCATCACTTGGATGTATCGCCAATCTACTTGGCATCGCTGCAGGGACTCCAGAACAGCCCAGATTTCGACCGAGTCAAAGGCTTTCTCATAGTCCACAAATGCTAGGCACAGGGGCTGATTATACTCCTCAGTCTTCTGTATAATCTGCCGCACTGTGTGGATGTGGTCTATGGTGCCGTATCCGCTCCGAAACCCAGCCTGCTCCGGTGGTTGGAATTCGTCAAGTCTTCGCGCAAGGCGGTTCGTGATCACTCTCGAGAACAGCTTATAGACGTGGCTTAAAAGGGAAATGGGTCGATAATTCTTCAGTAGGGTTTTGTCACCCTTTTTGAAGAATAAGACGACCACACTCCGACTCCACGCCTCTGGAGTTCTCCCTTCAAACAGGACAGCGTTAAATAGCTTTTGCAGCTCCCTGAGTACCGGTTTGCTGCCTGCTTTTAGAAGCTCTGTCGTAACGCCATCCTCTCCAGGGGCTTTTCCATTTTTAAGCTGTCCAAGAGCGATCTCGATTTCGTCAATGCTGACTTCTGGCAGGTCTTCGGTGTAATGGCGTATTAAAGTGGCTCTAGAGTCCTCATTTCCGGGGTCAGGTCGAGATGCATGCGAAGCGTATAACCGGCCGTAGAAGTTTTCTACTTCCGAAAGAACTGCCGGCTTCGAGACAACGACTTCTCCACTTGCTGTGGTCAACTTCGTCAGGTGGCTTCTTCCAAGAGATTGTACGAACACTTTTGGCCCCCGGTTTTGCTCGATCGCTCTCTCGATTGCAAGGGTATTCGAGCACCGGAGATCGTGTCGCACGTGTTTGCTAATCTCTCGGTTTAGAGCCCGCTTCTCTGACGAAGTGACGGGTGGGTTTTCACGTCGTCTCTTCATAAGCCCTAAAGTCTCTTCCGAAAGCTTCGACTTCCTGCCCTTACGCTGCATTTCACAAAATCTCGTACCTTCTTCCCTGAGAACTCGAACCACGTTTTCAAGGTTCCGGTTAACGTCGGTTGTGGTTTCCAGGGCAGCAAATCGGTTCTCCAGGTTTAACTGAAACGCTTCAGATCCCATTTTGATTTGAAACAGGGTTGGTCGGAGCCTGGCCTTCATCAAGCGGACTCGTTCGGCTCTGAAGTCGATATTCAGAGAGCCTCGGACGAGTCGGTGATCGCTACCGGTATTAAACCTATTAATCACGGAGACGTCTCTGAATATGTGCCTTTTGTCCGCCATGATGAAGTCGATCTCGTTCTTTGTCATAGTGTCGGGGCTTTGCCACGTCCACTTCCTTTGGGGCTGCTTCTTAAAGAATGAATTCATTAAGAACATCCCCTCCCGTTCGAGGAAATTGACGAGCATTTGCCCCCTATGATTCCTGTTTCCATACCCATGGGATCCTACTACCGATTCACTGCAATTTTGTACTCCCACTTTGGCGTTGAAGTCCCCCATAACAATGTTGAAGTGAGTCCTAGTGGTGGAGTGGAGGGCCCTCGATATATCATCGAACATCTCCTCCACCTCATCATCGGAGTGTGCCGAGGTCGGTGCGTACACTTGGACCACCTTAAGGCTATACCTCTCGGTGAGCTTTATAATGAGGTACGCCACCCTGTTCGACACACTCGACATTTCCACAACATTGTTAGATAGGGACTTGTTAACCAGAAACCCAACGCCACCTTGGGATTTTTGGTCTCCCTCACGGAAGTACATCAGGTGGCCTGATTTGAGAGTTATCGTGTCCTCCCCCTCTCTTCGGACTTCACATAACCCTAGTATGTGCCACCTGATCTTCCCAAGTTCCACCTCTAGTTGCGCTAGATGCGAGTCAAGCCGTAGCGTGCGTCCGTTGTACGTCGCCAGGGTCAGTCTGTTGTGGTGGCCTCCCGTAGCCCGGAGATTCTTAGCACCCCCTACCCCACCGTTACCATGGTCGCCACCATGACCAGGAATAGTGGGGCTGCCGGGAACTGGGGGCCGTGGCCTTCGTTTTTTGCCCATAGGAGGTATTGCCCATAATCGCCACGCTGGGCAGGCGGGTTGGCGATCGCAGGGCGAAACTTTTCGCACCGGTAACGCTGCTGCCCGTCACCGGCCTGCGGTACTTAATTTCGCCTGTTTGTAAGGGACGGATATACCGCCGTCGGTCGGTCGCCAGAGCCTCGTTCGTTGACCAGCAGGATGCACCGCGTGCAGGTGAGGTTGGCTTGGGGCGAAAGATGGAAGTTCGCCCCCTTACACCCCACCCCGTTTTTGTCTGTACCATAGGAATTGGAAGAACCTAACCGCTTCTTCCTCACTGGGTGGGGCAAGAAGAAGTGTCAGACTCTTACTGACTAAGAACCACCCCGTTGCATATACTAAGAACCACCCCGTTGCATATCCTGCGCTTGCACCAGCATCTCCGAAACAATTCAATACCTAAACCTGAAAGTTCCCCGTTTTAATATATGATTCGAGAATAACTATAAAATTTCAGGAACATGTTTTATTCGTGTAAAATAGATAATTCTTTCAGCGTCTTTTACACGGGTGAAGATATTTTTGGTACCAACTGTTATTGGACGCGTTAACTATAAATTATTGAAATCACGCGCTCTCGCCGTCAACTTACGCGAACGCAGGAAGTGCAATATATACATATTTGTATTTGATATTCTTTTAATTGACCGCGAACTTTAATTTTATAATATATTTATAAAAAAAAATTGTGTGGTTTTTGTTAATGAAGTTTTTTTATTCTATTTCTTGAATGGTTCTTATATTCTGGTCCTTTTTCTTTTGTATTAGCTATTTTGTTGGACTTTTGTTTGTAATGCTTTAGCTGCTATTACTAAAAGACGAGCTACACATACGTAGTAATACCACGGCCTCACAGAATACCGGCGTGAAACAACCACAGCGTTTTGTTTCGCCGTGTGAGTGATGTTACCGGAGGCCCAATCCCGACCCTTCCCCTATCCCTTCCCGATCCTTAACCCGCATCCTTAACCCGGCCCAAAAGGCCGGCAACGCACTCGTAATTCTTTTGGTGTTGCGGGTGTCATCAGGTAATCCGTCTGCTCGTTTGACGACTTTATAAAAAAACAAACATTTTTCAATGTGAGAATCTTTGTCACATGGAGACAGCAGCTAATAACCCATCCACCGTGCCAATCTTGATATCCCATGGAAAAAGATTGCGCAATATTATAATATGCTTTTAAAATTTAACTTTAGCAAGCGCCATTTTGTCTTTAGAAGTGTGTCTACAATAATTTGTTCTTATTTAATATGTAGTGCCAAGATGAACGAATGCACGGTCATTTAATTTGTATTTATCGTACGCTAGCTTTTACTCGCTGTTTTACTTACGTGATCAGCCTATCCTTTTTTGATTAAAAAAAACCGTTGCTCCGCACTATGTTTTTCAGCTGTACGACACAGCAGAAAATCATAGTGACACCCGCAGCGGAGGAGTTACGAGTGCGTTGCCGACCTTTTAGAGATTAGGGATTTGGAGATTTAGAGTTGAGGAGGGGAAGGATTGGGCCTCCGGTAACCTTACACACACAGCGAAACACAACGCTGTGGTTGTTTCACGCCGGTTTTCTGTGAGGCCGTGGTATCACTCCGGTCGAGTCGACCCATTCGGGCCGAAGCATGGCTCTCCCATACTT